AGAGAGAGAGAGAGAAAGATTTGTTCATTTTGTTCCTTTCTGATTTGTCAATCTGTGACCTAGGTAAGTAGCGATCGTGTGGTTGTGGTTACTCTAGTCTCAAGAGGTTCGCACCGCAGTTGGTCTTATCTCGCATGGCAGGGATCTTATCCAAGATTTTAGTGTGCCACTAGGATATATTCTGGGTGAAATGTTTGAGTAAAGAGAAACGGATCGACACAGTAATGGTCATTTAGTGCTGGGGTAAATGTAAGACAGACAGTAGAGGTGGGCAAAATCCGGATAACCTATCCAGATAACTGGATAATTATAAATAAAACATTGTCCGAATTCAGACTCTTAACTCCCTTTTCTGACTCGTTTGCCGAAGTGGTTCATATCTTAATTATTTGCCGAAGAGGTGCACTAACATAGCATCCGGATTTTGCTAAACCGACTCATTGCCCAGCCCTAACAGACAGACAGAAACAACAGAGGGAATTTTAAAGCGACAGGACACACCAGAGGCGCACCCAACCACCCACACAGGCAGGAACAACAGAGAGAAAGTAAAGCAGTAGGACCTATCAGTGACACCCTCCAACCACCCACACAGACAGAAACAACAGAGAGAAAGTAAAAAAGTAAAACCTACCAGTGACACCCTCCAACCACCCACACAGACAGAAACAACTGAGTAACTGAGGGAAAGTAAAGAAGTAGGATCTACCAGTGACACCCTCCAATCACCCACACAGTCAGAAACAATATAGAAAGTAAAGAAGTAGGACCCCCCAGTGACACCCTCTAACCACCCGTTGTCTTTTATTTTTGTAATTGTTTTACGGCGCTCGCAACTGCAAAAGGTCATAATACGAGCGCGCCTGACACATTAAACATTTTCAGTTGGTAGGTAATAGTGGATTTTTGCCTTGGTGGCAACCGAAGCCTTTTCTTACTGATTGTTTTACCACCAAGGGATCTCTGACGTGTGCAACTTGCACACGGGACCTCCGAGATTTTTTTGCCCTTGTCGGAGAATGGTAAGTGTAGATCTTTTCTACCATTAGATCAGGGGTGTTGCTAAAAGACATCAGTAAGAAGGAGCGAAGGGGAAGCTGTAGAAAGGCTGCAACTTGCTGTGTGGGTTATAGAGAAACATGTCCACACGACATAGATCAAATAAGCTGGGCCGCCTTTCGAAGAAAGGAATGATCGGTGCATTTACATAACTGAAAGTCATTGGCCTACTATATTTACGCTCTACTGGAATGGAGCAATAAATCTTGAGAAAAAAGTGACACAAGTGTTTCCAAGTTGCCAAATATATACAGACAAAGGAGTCCAGAAAAAACAATGATGGGCACCAAACGAAAGGATCACAGTCGAATTTAGCACCAAGTAAAAAAACAACAACATGAGGCTAAGTCTATGCGGGTCGCACACTTAAAATAGTGCTCAGTATTGCGTGACAATGCGCGATAGTATAGAACGGAAGTACGACTTGAAATTTAAAAAACCTGGCGGATTTTCTAAAATTACAGAGACAGAAGCGTCGGCCTACAAAAGCGATCGGCGAAATAAAGAAATTTAGCT